GGTTCCTGCAGGGGCACACAGGGGTGTAACACCCTCGGGCTGACACTCTTGTCTGTATCATTTGTGTGTGTGTGTGTGTGTGTGTGTGTAAGAGTGGGAGGTGCAGCGTTTCTTCATGCGACCAGCAACTGTAAATTACCTGCTGCGCTATCCGACCACACGACACAGTTTGAGACGTGCAGCTCCTTCTGAATACAGACTGATGAACAACTGCATGTCGATGATCGCCCGTGCGTTCACAAAGAGAAAACTGAACCTATATTTAAATAAATACTGCAGTCAAGTATTCAGTACAAAGTGCCAGACATTTCCACAGTAGTCACAGTAGTGGATGGAGGACAGGGGGCCACACGGTGGTGGATGGAGGACAGGGGTCCACACGGTGGTGGAAGGAGGACAGGGGTCCACACGGTGGTGGATGGAGGACAGGGGTCCACACGGTGGTGGAAGGAGGACAGGGGTCCACACGGTGGTGGAAGGAGGACAGGGGTCCACACGGTGGTGGATGAAGGACAGGGGTCCACACGGTGGTGGATGAAGGACAGGGGTCCACACGGTGGTGGAAGGAGGACCAATCACTGAAAAAAAGTCTAGAAATGAGTGCAAAAAAAAAGTTTGCAAATGTGGCTCTGTGACTATTAGCTACAACCAAAGCTGCACCATGAGAAAATAAACCTCAGGCTCCACATCGCAGTTATGACCATGTGAGTAACTACGGGTCAGAAATCCACAGTCTAGTTAAAAAGACACCTCATGTTAATGTTGCTTTGTACCTGCAACGAAGAGTTGAGCATCGAACCATGTGACGAAGAAACAGGTAAATCTTGATTTTTATTGAATTTCTTTGCAAATTACACAGTAAGCCCCCTGCTGGCCGTTTAAGACCATCTGTCATTTTTCTTTAATCATATTTACAGCAGAATCCTCCTCAGATTAAGGAAGTATTTAGAGCAATCAATAAAAAAATAGAACTTTTCTTTTTTTAAATCCCAGACAGCTAAAACAAACTCAGCGTCCTGTTCAAAGAAAGATGTCCTCTTCGTCAAGTACTGTACTAACACCCGCAGCACACTCCATCCCCATCATAAATCACACAAACTGTGCACCGCCTCTACTGCAGGAATTGACTCGGTGACTGTCACAATTATCCGAGCAGATAATGTCTGGTGCTTAGAGCAGTGGTTTCTCAAATGAACTGAGAAAAGAAAAAAAGAAAAAGAAAAAAAGAAACATCAGACTGGCGTTGCTGTAATAGGCTTCTGAGCTTCATACAGCAGAAGTAATTAAAGGGAGAACAACAACCACCATTAACAAGACACTGGACGACAAGTGGAGGAGGACACAGAACCCCAATGTTCTCTTCACTTGACCTGGTCCGGCTGTGCCTCTCTGGTCTCCTTCATCTAACTTAAGAAACACACATGGGCTGTTTGTCCCTGAGGAACAGACAGGCAGTCCAGATTATCTTGTCTAAAGGAGGTTGTGATTTATTATTGTTCTTGTACTTTATTTAATCCTAAAGAAAGGGTGAACCCTTTCTTTAGGGTTGAAATCTCATGCCCTAACAGTGACCTGCTCTGTTAGAACCAGCTCTTGGAGGTGAACGACTGTCTGTTTGTCTTTCTGTCTTTTTTCCATTAAAGTTGCACCTGATTGGTCAAAATGTGGCATCTGTGTGTCCACTATGAGCATCACAAGGGAGGAGGGGGTGAGGGATTCAGGGGGGGTCACACAGGACAGCGATATGAGCATCACAAGGGAGGAGGGGGTGGGGGCCCATGGCTCTCAAAGTTCCAGAATCTCCATAACTTCAACTGTCCATCCAGTATCTCTACTGTCTCTCCATCTGGTGCTGCTCTCATGCACCGTAAACACACATGTTGTACACATGTACAACAAGAACACACCGGTGAGTGGGAGGTACAATCGTATAGCCGCGCTGAGCCGAAGGGAACAGGGGCCAGTAAGCAGTGAAACCAAAATATCAAAAAGCTTTGTGGGTGAGGAGCAGGACGTCGGACAAATCCACTCGACCAGTGTTTTCTCTCCCGGTGAGCCTCTCTGTGTGGGAGCCTGCTCTAAGCCAAGGCCCTAATTTAAGCGACGGTCTTAGGAAATAAGGTGAAGAGTGCTGTCCATCTAACACAAAGTGACTTAACTGAAAACTCCATCCTAACGTTGCCTGGCAACCTAATCTTCCGGGGCCTCCGAGAGGCAGAGAGGAAACAGGATTTAAGGTTGAGCTTTTTTAAACAGCTCATTTTGCCAGCTCTCTGAAAAGAGGCAGACATCCCAGCGGCACATTATCACCGAGCACACACACGCAGCGACACGGACACGGTCATAAAGCATGTGTCAAAATAAATTCCGACCATCAAAGGAGGAAACACTGGCAATTGTTCCTATGTTTGGGCCTAATGTCTTCATAATGACTGGCATTAAAATGGAGACTTTTTTTTCCCCATGTAGGAAAAATAAGCTCCAGGGCCTGAGGTGGTGAACAAGGACCAGACCAAGAAAAGAACCTTTTATTTTCTATTTTAAAACTGTAGAGAAAAGGGAAAAAATGGAAGTGGAAATTAAAGTGCAGGTAAAAAAAGTTTTGATTGCAGCAGTGGCTAATTAACCTGATTAAAAAAACAACTTTATTCCATATTTAATGCCTTCGCTGCAATAAGAAAAGCAGAAGAAATAGAGATGTGGTTAATGCCCGGAATATCAAGTGGAGGATTGACCTTCTGCCTCTTATTTTAACTAATTATTTTGCCTCCTGTAAAGTAAAAAATATTCAGCACACGTTAGATTTATTGCTGAACAACTTTCAGCCAGAAGGGTTCTGTTGAACTAATGAGAGCAAGAAGGAAAGTGTTGGGGGAACTGTTTAATTCTACTCAGTTACTTATGGTTATTTATTCAAGTGAGTAACAATTTAAATATTAAAAAAAAGTCAATGCTGCTTTTTAAACAAATCCCACTGCCTCAAGGACTTGCAAATAAGTCAGTGATTAATGCTCATCATGGTTTCACGTATCATCTGGTTATAATTTAAAAATTATAATTTAATGTAGAAAAGCGTAGCCAAACACTGTGTGTTTGTATTTAAAGTCCTCGCACGTTGCTCTCCACGTCTGATGGGAACTCAAGTGAAAACCCATTGCTGTGACTGTTTGTTTTCTGAGTCACATTTTTAACCTCTTGCCTTGAAAATCCTTGAAATACGTTTCCTCTGGCACTGGGTCTCTGCTTCAATTTCACACGGGAACTAACGAAACAACATTTCAATTTCTAAAGGCTGTTTTGTTCATCACTGACTTTTGACACGTTGACACCACGACAACATTCAGGTTTTGTTCATCACTGACTTTTGACACGTTAAAACGACACCACGACAACATTCAGGAGGAATAATGAGTTCGGCCTCCGCTCCGGTCCTCGCCCCTGATGTTAAAACACCTCCAAACTGCTGAAAAATGACACAGTACTGCCCAGCTGCCAAGGGACCGTCTGAAACGATACTACCTTACCTCTACACCGATATTATCACAAATTATTTTGCTGGTCCTGAAAATAAATGACTGCGTAAAAATGTCACTTCTTTTTCTATTAATGTGTTTGTATTAATTTAATCTGACATATTTCGTGGAATAATCTAAAGTCACATTGTACGACACGGTCCCTCCTGACAAGAAGGATCATTTGGGTCAGGAAAGAGAGAAATGAGAAGGACTGACAGATGAAATGTTTCAGAGTTGAGCGATCATTCACGCTAATGCTGCTTCTTTGATGTTTATTTTGGTCGAAGCCTGAGGCAAAGTTTGTGACAAACAAAGGTGAGTCAGTGGACAGGCGGAGAAGCTGAACCGTGCGGTTGAAAATCACAAAAATGCAGGGGTTCTGTTCCGCATGAACGGCGTTAATATTTATAAAAGTATTATAATTCAAGAGATAAGAACCTGGATTTCTAACGACTGAGTGGTCTGACGTGGAACGGAATAAACAAAATGAAGATGTGAGAGAAACTGTTAGTGTGGGACAAGTGAAGGAGACAAGGAGACGAGGAGTGAAGTGAGTAAAGTGGTGATTAATAGGTGATAAAGAGGAGCGAGGAAGGCACTGAGAGAGAGAGAGAGAGAGAGTACCAGAAAGAAAAAAAGGTCTGGGAGCACTGGGCTGCAGTGACGTGAAGCTCAAGGTGACGTCAAAGCTG